CTGGCGCCATTGTGACCAAGCGTCGAACATTCTGTATGCCCACATCGCTTTCCTCTTAGTATTTTCTGGGATGCTTCGCGAAGCCAACTCTATCATACTTTTACTGCTGCAAATCTCAAACCGGTCAGGCGTATTCTGTTGCTTTATTGCAAAATATAAATAAATTCAAATATTAATCGCTATGATTAATGCTTGTTACTAACTTTTAAACAAAACTTAGCTAAGACAATTTTCACCTTTTCTATCCAACGTGCTTTTCCCAGGTGCATTACATCGCCGCTCACTGACACTGTCTATCTGATTTGGCCTTTCCAGTGAAATTCTCCGCTCTGCAAACAAATCCAATGACTGGGAAAGTATTCCATCCAGCCCATCGTCTTCCAAATCTAGACATTCGCAATCCCAATTATTGGTCTTTTCAACTTCAAATTCATCGTCATATCCTTCTCCAAACAAACTAAAATCTCGCTTTCTCGAACCAGACATCCTCACTCCACAAATATCAATCAAGTAATAAAAAGGTAGCTGTTGAAAAAACACAGCCCAGGAATGCGCATACAAAACATAAATATGGTGTGAAAAATAATAGTACCACAACAATGAACTTGTAACTATCTTAATAGTTTTCTTTGTTCATAAACACCATAATGTGCATTAAGTCGGATAATACCCTCGCTCTCGGTATTATTAAAAATAATGACCTCGCGCTACGCGCTCGGTCATTATTTTTAATAATACCTCGAGCTTGGGCATTATCCTATACAGATTAGGCCACTGAAGGCATATTTTTCCAAGTTGTTGGTGAAGATATTATCAATAAGTGTGGCGGAATGTGACGTTAATCTAGTAGGGAGTGTAATTAGAGGAGAAAACGAATTAGCATACATTATGTCCAAAAATTCATTTGTAAAATGGTTCAATAAGTCCAGATTGAAATCACCCATGATATAGCAATTTTTGTTATCTCTCGAGATTTTTCCGATCAAAGAATTTAATTCGCTGATGAAATTGGCCACATTATGGTTTGGTGGTCTACAGGGTGTATCAAAATAAACGCAATTCATCTTTTGTGCTTGATAACTTTCGAAATACTATTTCTATTTAAACGCTTTTAGGCTTACTTCAAAGCCTGTTCTTTTCTCTTTCAAACAAACTATTATCCTTGCCTCCAATGCTATTAATAATTACACAGGAAAAGATTTAGTAAAAACTATCATTTTTAGTTGCTGTTTAATTATGCAAGTTTACTATGTCTACTATGTTATTGTTTAGTCGGTTTAAATGTTAGAATTTTCTTCTTTAAACTTTAATATTGTCGTCACTACATCTGGAAAACCACGTAAGAACAAATTAAAAGTATTTTAAAAGAGACCAGCTTGTTTGAAAATCCTAAACGAATGCTAAAAATCGTCAAAACATTCTGGTGTCTGAGCCAGAGTGTCATCGAATTGCGATGCAATGTAAACAGAAATTGTAGCAAGTTGATGTCAGTCAGCTGAGATGCATGGTCCAAGCCAAAATTATATCGCATTTGAAGTTTCAAACTGAGTTAAAAATAGTGGAAGAAAAGCCGTAATTATACTTATTGTTACAATCCATTTAATAAAATGCAACATTTTTTTGTTTTAATGAAAAAATCAGTTATTTTCATGAGAACGATTTGTTATTCCATCTCATTTTTTTTAATCTCCAATCGCAATAAGGTAAAGTATTATTACCCGCGAACCAATGAGTCAAATTTAAGAAACAACCCACTGTTAGAAAGCTGAATGGCTACGCTTTAAAATGAATGTAAACTTTAACGTTTTCGTCTATTATTTGTCTAGCAATTTACATTTCCGTCGAGGATTGCGCTTTTTTTGATACACCCTGTATATATCACTCCTATGATATAATTTTTTCCCTTAGGATTAAAAATTTCAACAAATAAAGATTCAGCAATTGCATTGTCTTCGAAACAATTGTGAATTGCAGTGCAAACTTCGTATATATTTTTGTAATAATCACTTCTTGAAAAAAAGGCAATCAGATGTATGTACAATGTGCTTAATATTGCATGTGCGATCGATACCCACTATCAAGTTGGGCAATACTCGAATAACGTCGAGCAAAACTGCGTTAGCCTGCGTAGCAGATAAACATTTTCAACCTCGATCGCAAGCCAACGTTCTTCACTTCCGCTTTCCTCTGCATGATGCGTGTAATGTGCAAATCTGAAGTAGACAAAACGATCGCAAAAGCAGTAAAGCACTACTTTTTGGGGGTTGTTTTCTGACCCCGGAACGACACGTTCGCAAACGTTTTGACAAATTTTTTGAGTTTATATACAGTGTAGCAATTTCGTTTGAAAATATAAATTTTAAACAGCCCGTATTTTAAACTGTACTATAGTGTGCTGTTGAATATTGTAACTTCCCCATGTAAATCCAGAATTAGATACTTAAATTAATACCGTATTTCAATTTGTTTGCCAGCTTATGTATATATTGGTCCTCTAAGTCTAACTAAACTAGCTGGATCAAATTGGAAATATCTGTGATATTTAAACGATCATACAATTGATGCTTGTGTGATGTTACTCTGAGTGTATATCCACACCGGGCAGGCTTGAAAAATATGCCTGGCCACGGTGGAAATCGAACCTACGACCTTTGGAATACTAGTCCAATGTTCTGCCAACTGAGCTACGCGGTCAGGACTGTTCGAGTATGCGATATTTCGGAACTGAGTCCAGTTCCTTCGATATCAGTATAATCTAATAATCATGAAATTTGCTATGTTGGTGTAATGTACTCAGGTGAATAAGATGCTTGTGTGATGTTACTCTGAGTGTATATCCACACCGGGCAGGCTTGAAAAATATGGCTGGCCACGGTGGGATTCGAACCTACGACCTTTGGAATACTAGCCCAATGCTCTGCCAACTGAGCTACGCGGTCAGTTGGCAGAGCATTGGGCTAGTATTCCAAAGTAGGTCACTTTTTCTTTGTCTTGTGATTTCTCGGGTGGAACTAATTAGAAAAGACAAAGAGAAATTCTGCTCCGCGCGGAAAATTCCGCCTAGTGGAAAACCGGCTTAACACAGTACTAAAATGCGGTGCCCTACAAATAAAACTTCCGGCGTTTCCGCCTACAAGTAAAGTTTATTTTAATAGCACGCTACGTTCTTCTGTCGGCCGCCAATTGGTCCGTATGCCAGGATTAAACCTGTGCTTTAATTAAAAACGTTCAAAATAAAATATTTTGGGGGCTTTTGGGCTCAAAATTGACTATCAAAATGAAGAGAGAAATGGGCGAATCCACTTAGAAAAGGCCGAAAAAGAGAAAACCAACGATACCAAAGTTATAAAGGATCAAACTTACTGCATTTTTTACAATTTATAGTTTAATAATTTTAAGCGATTTGTCAACAATACAATTTCGCTTGGCTTTCGAAGACAAAGGCCATAAAATGCTAGAATACTGTTTTTTAGTAACACATTTGACATCCATATGTACAATTTCCTACGCTAAGGGACCGGTCATTATTTATGGCGGGGGGTGGCACCGAAGAGAAATGTTTTTCGTAGCAAAAATTTTGCTGACCCAACCATTAAAAAGTAAAAAAAAATGATTACCCAACCTCAAATATCAATTAAAAAATAAACACACCCCTGGTCAAAAAATTTACAAAAGGTACCATTCAGTGGTCACATATGTCCTTTACCACTTCTGTGACATAAGTTTGATAACGGATTGTGAAATTTTCTGCAGTCTGAAGTTTCATGTTGTCTGCACATGTAGCTACTTTCTTTGGAGATCCCATCGGAAATTGATGAAGATAGTGACTCTGATTGATATATACTTTTCGTTGTTTCTTTATACATTTAGTAAATCTTAGTATAACACCAAGTTCATCAATTGCTTCTATTTTGCTAGCAAATCCATGTATAATAAACCCGGGTGTTTTGCAATCAAAAGTGATGCAACCTGGATAGTGGAATAAGTTGACTACTGTAGGCACAATTTTTGGCCACTTAATAGTCAAAGGTCATGCATAAATAAGAACAGTCTTTAATATTACCTCCTTACGGAGACTTTATATTAATTGTGCTACTCTAGGATCTAGAAGACCCATAGGTCCCATACTCGACTAGCAACATAATCAGGTTAGTTAATGTTATTTCATTATATATAGGATCAATGTTAAAGGCAAGTTTGGCTATAAGCTATAATCATTTGTATGGCTTATAGAAGGCTAATTGTAGACTTGGATCAAGTCCGTCTCTCTAGAGTTGGAGTCGCGAAGCGACGAGATCGAGCGCGCCGCGCCGCGTTATTGCACCACGCGCTCTCCCTTGGACTCTAGAGAGACGGACTTGATCCAAGTCTAGGCTAATTGCTGCGAATAAATTGAATAATGAATGTAGCACAATATTAAATAGTTGCATGATGACGTCAAAGAAACTAGTCAGACTACATTTGCAAGTTTTGCAACTCTCATCGCTTAAATTCCACATACCTGAATACAAAATACAAAATAAACAGTAAACAGTAAACAGTAAACAACGATTACCTTTTACATACCATATATAAAACGGAGTTTTCATCCTTTCTGGAAACTCATTTCCTGAACTTTTGAGCGCAAATGTAATGTATTAAAAATGTATATCACATTCACAGCGGTTAATACCATTAATATATTGCGGGCGCAATACAAAACAAAACACGATAATTTTAAAATGTTTTGATTTGCAAATAAATAAATAATATTTGAAGTCATAAAAATTTTTAAATTTAACTCAACACAAACTGGTAAGTTCATGAGATGTATAATTTACTTATATGTTGTTATATTGCAATTCTGTACCCTACTCCTTTGAAAATTGTTTGCAATTGCATATGATGTGAATATGTGGTCATGTATTACAGTTGTGTCATGAATTTAATAATACTCCAATGGATTCGAAACAGACAATGGATGAAAAAAGTCATGAATATTGAGCTTATTTACCCTTTAAACACTTGATCGTCATGCGCATACAGTGTATTGTTTGTTTCCAGAACCCCCTCAAGCAGACTTCAACTTTTTTTGTTAAATTGTATATTTTGCTTCATACACTGCATGTGTGTGTGTTTGTGGGAACACTCATGTTTGGATGCTTGGCATAGGTTAATGGTAATTTCATTGGAGTCATCAGGGAAATAGTTGTATATTCCTGAAATTACCTCTAAACACCTAAAACAGCATTCCCTAAAATTTTAATTGTTTTCTTAGATTGCCCTGTATCGCTCAAACTCGCATTGCTTAAATTGCAGATTTTGCTTAAATCACCCTGCCTCGTACCCAGGCGTTTCTTTGTAAAAAAACAATGATGCCCATATGACGTGTTTACATGAAGTATTGTAGTGGAGAGAGATGGCGAAGGGGCTGATGGGAAGAGTGCACTTGGACTGCGAGACGCCTGGCAGTTCTTGGTCGATTTCTTGCAAATTTGTACGATTTCTTGCAAGTTGTGCTATTTCGTTGTCGTTTACGATTTTTTGCTACTTGTTTTTGTTGAATTGACTAATGTTAATATTCTTCTGTCGTCCGGGCGTGAATTCATGCTGTTATTCTTGGTATATATGACATATATATGCCCTTAAAGTCCATGGAAATTCCAATATTAACATGTCAACAACCGAAGCGTTGAAGAACTAGACTTGCAGGAACTAGATTTGTAAGCTATAACTATATAAAGGTACAGACTATAAACTTGCACTATTGTAATAAATATTTCAAACTTTACGGCTGTGAACTTTTATTTACTTGGGCTTTTTTTGTTTACAGTATACATTTAATAGAAATTGCCATTGGCATTGTGATTGACTGATTGAGCTTCTAATCATTTCTCTGTTACTGTTTTATGCTAACTGAGCCACTGATAGCATTTTATTATTCTCCATGTAATATCGAATGACATATTCGAAATATTCGCACGGTTAATTTGTCATGTTATTTACTCATAATTTTTCGCGCATTTTGCATGTCATCGAACATCTACAAATGTATTATTATTTGCCGATGGCGTTCAATTCAACTCTTCATCACAAAGTAAGGTTTTACACACAGAGTATATGACGATATGGTAACTTTTTGTATAAAATTCCCTGTTTTCCCGCCATGACAGTATACAAGAACTGCCAGGCGCTCCCCATCACGCACCCTTCCCAACAGCCCCTTCGCGCGTCGGATGCCTACCTGAATACTTCATGTAAGCGCCTGGGTACGAGGCAGTAAATCACCTAAAATTGCTTAAACTCGCATTATCTTGTTATCGCCCCAGAGTAGGGCCTACTGTTGCCATTGCTTTTTAGTCCCCAATACTTCGGTGAGTCATGCTTTGGAAATGACAATAATTTTTTATTACCCAACCCTTGAGTTGTTTTGTTTTTCATTCACCCAACCTTTTACTTACTCAAAATTTAGTTTACCCAACCCTTTTCTCTTCGGTGCCCCCATAAATAATGACCGCTCCCTAAATCGAACGGTGGTATTTTTATTCTTATTGCGCCATTAGGCATTACAAATACAAAGACAAACGTATTTGTCAACAATACGTACTGCGAACGATTTGTCAACAATACAATTTCGCTTGATTTTCAATGGCCATAAATCGCTAGAATACTGTTGTTTTGTAATACATTTGACATCCCTAAGTACGATTTTTTACGCTGAATCGAACGGTGGTAGTTTTAACCTTATTGCGCCATTCATTAGACATTACAAATCATTGAACTCAAATAAGTAAACTATATAGTTTGGATATTAAAACGTGCTGCGAGTGATTTGTCAGTCAGCATGCTATACATGTACTGCCAGCGATTTGCCAACAATACAATTTCGCTTGATTTTTAAAGGCCATAAATCGGTAGAATACTGTTGTTTTGTAATACATTTGACATCCGTAAATACAATTTCTTACGCTGAATCGAACGACGCCGATGGTATTTTTATCCTTTTTCCGCGCCATTAGGCATTATTACAATATCACATTTCACACTACACTACAGTTTTCACGTTCCACAGCTGACTATTGGGCACTGTTGCATAAATTTTATATTGATATGACACCAATATGCTTCTCATAAAGTAGTTATCTATTAAAACTACAATCAGTTTCAAAAGTCTTGGGACAGATGTCACAAAACCTTTGAATTTCAACAAACGTCAATCTCCGCCGCCCCCTGTTCAATGTTGTGTCCCATATTTCTCGTCAGGTTTGATGTGTTTTGGCTTGAGCAACATTGATTGGGGTGGGGGGAGGGGAGCGGTATTGTGTGTAAAAACTGTAATGATCCACTTACAATCTAAAACTACATGTGTCCCAACAACTTCTGAAAGTGATTGTCTGGGCCCCATATGCCATAACACCATTGTATATCTCAAAAGTACAGGGTATAGAATGCTCTGCGAGCGAAGTATTTCTGCTCCATTTCGTTCACAGAAGATCTAACATAATATTTTAAAACAATTAAGCTCCATTAATATTCTCAAAGTTAATAATTAACAGGATATGAATATAACTTGTTATGTCATATAGCATTCTTAATCGTTGTTTGTTTTTACAAATTTCGGCAGAGCACAAGTGGGTTATTTGAGAGATTATATATAGTCCGCCAATATAAGGATAGGTATTGCGAATGTTTTATGCTAGATATGTCACACTTACTGTTAATTTATAGCATAGTGATATCACATCCGGTTACTTTCGCATGCGAGTAACGGCTGAGTCAACTGCTAATTCGGGTATTCCGAAGGTAAAGAGCGTTTGCTTTATAATCAGTTATGGTCAATGTAACATTTCACATCTTTCTAGAGCAGAATTTGCAGATATAATTGTCGACGCATAGGCAGGAACGAGCACTAAGTAGGTGGGAATGTCGGAGGCTCATGGAAAGGGCGGTAGTCACTTCACGGCAAAAAAAATCGTCCGCAAGATCGAGGTGGCGCGCTATCGGAAAGCTCGAGAAGAGTAAATGTGGCATTTAATTGAACTTTTCCGCAGACAATCTCAAAAATTACTATTCAGCTTATTCGTACGTGGTAAAGGAAGACCCGGACTAAGTGATATCTCCAGGGCTTATAGACCTCCCCAATGCTGACGCGTTAGCGAGTACCAGCGCGACCCGCAGAAGCAAGAAAGTTGCTCGGCTCAGGCTTCCCAAAATATGTAACGAAAGGGACTCGCAGTATACGGCGTTGTACGCATTAGACACTGACGTTAGTGTTATACGCTAATTATTATGCTAATAAGCGTTTCCGGACGAGACGAATGCAATGAAACTAGCATCGGTTGACACTTCGATTGTCACTATATAAATACGAAATAACAGGCAACTAGACATGTCTTAAAACAGAACAAGGCTAGGAGTAATCTGTTGAGAGTGTGTAACAATGTATTTGCTATTAATGAAAGGGTTTGAAATTGATTAAAGCAAGTTTTGGATCGATTGACACTTTTTTACACAAATAAATCTGATAGATCATAGTGATATTTTTAGAGTTAAGTGTCAATCGAACATTTTATAACATTTATATACTTTGTGATTAAGTAGAACCCGTAATATATCAATAAACGCTCCCTAAACACGCTTGCTTAGTACTTAATGTTCTGAAAATGATTATGCGGCGACAATTGAAAGTTATATCAATGAAAATGCTATGTGTTTCAAAGTGACAACCGAGTGTCAATCAAGCACGTGTTCAAGCCGTTTTATATTACATACATGTTTTCATGTCAAATATGCACAATCTTTAAGTGGTTTCGATAACTTACCCTTGCATTTTATTTAGCATTAACCTGGGTCGATAATTAACCAGATAGATGTGTTTTCTCCCTTGCATATAAACCAGGTTTAATCGCTCGGCATACGGCCCTCCCCACACTCACATCTTTCAGTATAAGCTCATTTATAATATACTGTTGGATTGTGTTACATTTCAAAGATATTGACCACAACCGAAGCACAGTAAGGACGTTACATATGCCAATGCAATTCAGTAAACATGTTATACTGAATGCTATATGATTTTCGCGAAACTGATATTCTAAAACACCCGGTAATTCAAAGAGGTTAAATATGCCTTTCATTGCCTTTCTGACTGTCTGGGCCCCATATGCCATAACACCATTGTATATCTCGAAAGTACAGGGTATGCAAATTTATAATTATGCAAATAAATACAAGAGCACAACGCATGTTTATGAGCCTACAACGTATATTTATACTTGTTAATTAAAAAGTCAAACTGTCAAACCTTTAACTTGTCCTTGTTTATATTCCATTATATTGTATAAATTCGCTGGGTCCGAATTTTGGGGTTTTCGAGTCGTTACACAAAGAAAAACACACTAATTCAACACGCAAGAAAGGCCAGAGTGCGACAGAATGGAAAATCCATAGGAAACCGGCACAATTCTTTGAAAATTCAACGAAACTGTGTGAAATATATATTAGATCGCTAGCTCAGTGAAAGCCGCCATTTTGAAACGGAACTGAATATGTCACTGGAGCACGTTGCACCATGAGCCTGCGATGACCTAACGCAAACTCCATTTCTCGTCGAAAACAGAAAACAGAAAAAGAGGGATTTTAAGACACTTGGCCTACGGGGTATAGCAAATCTTCGAGTTAAGCCCCTCGTATTAAGCCCTTCGAGTTAAGCCCCGACCACGCCTTTTCGAGTTAAGCCCCGACCACGCCCATGTCACGCCCATTTCCGTTGAGGGCTTAACTCGAAGTACATAACTGGAGTTAGGTACTTCGAGTTAAGCCCTCTAGAAAATAGGGGCTTAATTAACTCGAACAAAGTCAAACATTTCGTTCTTCGAGTTAAGCCCCAACGTTTGAAAGATGTAAACGAGTTACAATACGTTTTATTTCAGGCAACGTATTATATATATTAGGGACTTTAAGATTGACGTTTACTGCAAACTGCTAACCGGAAACGGCAAACTTGAAATCGTAATTTGAAGCTAACTGTCAGGTGTTCGAAGTTAGAGCAACTTGTGCATAAAAATTAACAATTATAACTACATCAGTAATTATAATTATAAGTGTTGTTTGATGCTAATTTTTTGCATTTTCAAATATTGCATGTAATATTGCATGTAAATTCAAGTGCTATTTATCAAAATCGAAGTTAGTCATTTCTGAATGCATTATCGCCTTTATAGCTTTTACGTTACATGAAATCAAATAGTGTCCAATTTTTTTGGGGGACACCCGGTATTTAAGGTAGATTTGCATTTCGCAACTTGTGGGGCAATCGACATTTTGCGACCGCTTTCCGTTTTGAAATGTTTGCATGCAGTCTAATGAAATCGTTCCATATAATGAAGACTTGAATAGTTGTAAGAACCATATAATGTGAAAGTGCATATTTCCACAGAAAGTTCCTATTTCCACCGTTGAGAATTGGGTCTAAAACTATTGAAAATTAACTCCCCTTACTCTTCAGGACTTAAGTTGATGAATTGAACTTCAATAAAATACCTGCGTATGCATAATTATCAGACACGTCTTGTAAACCAGCCCTGAGCTCATTTTTAAAATGACACGTTCGTGATTATTTTCTAATTAAAATCTAAGTTAGTCCATTATGAATGCAATGATCTTTATTTCATTGCGAATCTACGATAGCTTTTATATAGCTTTTGCGTTGACATGAAATCCGAGTCCGGTGTTTTTCGGGACACCGGTATACAATTTGATAATCAATTTTAAGAAGTTCGATCTTTATTCCTTTATTAGCGATTAAAAAGTAGCTACAGGGCCGTAGCTAAGCATGCATAGTTGGGAGGTGTAGGCCAAAAATTTCCGAATGACGAAAGAAATTTCCGAATATTTCATGGCATACGAAGCCGCGAAGGTTGTTGCTATCCGGAAAATGAAAACGCAATTTACAAACAAAAATACTCATATTTTACGCACAGACATATTACAGAAGCGTGCAGTTCCATAGGAACTTCTTTTTGATAAGGGGGTGGCGAGGGCCGCGAAGGCCCGAGGAAATTTTTAAATTTAGAGTCTCTGAAATGCCATTTCGTGGACATTGGGGGAAGTTTTGACAGAATTCTGATGGTCAGAAAACAGAGTTTTAGCACGTCGAAATTTGCAATTAATTTGCTTACAATTTAGAAGAATTAAATGAGCGAAGGCGTATATGGGTATAATATGATTCTTAATTCTTTGCGGTTTGTCATGGATAATGTAGCCAATAATGTAATCAATTGTCAGTATTTTAAAGATATATTGAGGGCTGCCCCCTCCCCCCCCCCGGTGCTACGGTCCTGGGAAGTAATAAGCCGAAGAATATTTACCGATCTACGATTTGTTAAATGTTATCCATGTAAATGCCGTGATTTTGTAAATCAGTTTATGATACTGACAATACAATTTTATAATATTTTCTCTTCATGTTTAATTAAACAACTAAAATTTTGTTATACTATTACTGCCGTAATTTTCCGAATGACCAACCTGGTTTTCCGAATATGTTAATTCTAAAAAAGTTGGGGGGGGGGGGTTAACCACCCCCTCCCCCAATTCCCCCTTCGCTACGGCCCTGAGTAGCTAGATCATAATCCAATTTTTATGCACAAGTTGCTCACTTGCTCTAACTTCGAACAGCTAACAGTTGACTTGCGGTTAGCGGTTTGCCGTAAACGTCAATCTTAAAGTCCCTAATAATGCTAATATATATAATACGTCGTCTGAAATAAAACGTATTGAACCTTGATTGAACGAAACGCGATCCAAATGACAATTTAATTTGTTTGGGATCAGATTAACCGTAACTCCTTTACATCTTTCAAACGTTGGGGCTTAACTCGAAGAACAAAACTAACTTTTCCCCAGTTGAAGCAAAGTGTTGATTAAGTATGTTAGCAATTTCTATTGGGTTACTTGATATACCATTGTTATTCGGTCTTTTAATTGATTTGATTGTACACTTGCCCTTACGTTTATTGTTAATTAAATTATTTATTCCTTCCTATGTTTTCTTCATATCATTTGAATTTGTAGTAAAGTATTCATGATAATGAAGCTTTTTACTTGTTCGAGTCAATTGTGAAATTTTGTTTCGGTAATACTTATATCTCTGTATATCACCGGAAAAATAGATCGAGACCGTTTTTTATTTTTATAGATTTACGAATGCCGTTAGTTATCCATGGTTTTGATAATAATTTTTGTTTACGATTTGATAACTTTTTAAGCGGCGCATGGCATGCTTATTAATAAGTTTGTTAATTTTATTGTAAATTGTAGAGAAATGTTTGTTTACATTATTATCTTCATTTGCATACAAATAGTTACGGAGAGTGAGTAACGAATCGTTATTGAATGCATGCAGTTTGTGAATATTGAGAAAAATCTCGTATTTTGTTTAGTTTTTGTTTTTTACGTTCTTGACAAATGGAAGTTACACAAAATTGAAAGAAGGGGTCACTTAAGTCAGACACAATATTACCACTAATGATTGAATTGCTCATTTCATTCGTTAGGATATTATCGATGAGAGTTGCAGAATTTCGGTGAACTCTTGTAGGTTTATCAATGGTTGGAAGTAGTCCGAAATTTTGAAGTGAAAGTAAAAAATTATGTGAAAATTTGCAAGTTCCAAATTTAAGGAGGTCTACATTGAAGTCACCTAGTAAATATATGAGTTTCCCAGTTGCACTTAAAAAAGTGATAATCAATATAGTTTTGGAAATTATCCAGAGAATTGTGTTGTCTATATAAAACTCCACAGATTACATTAGCCTTGTTTATAAATTCCACTTCGGTCCATAGAGCCTGAAACGCTTTATTGCAGATCTTTTCAAGTATTCTATAATTAAGGCTGTCGTGAATATTTAAGCCAACTCCTTCAGCAGAAAGTGGGGTTGGGACGTATTCGAAATTATACCCAACGATATTTGGATTGAAATCAAGCGAACTTGACTGAGTTATTCGGGTTTCTGTTACTCCTATAACACTAAAGTTAAAATTGAGCTCTTGTAATAAATGTTCTTGAAAATTCTCAATATTTCGTCTCAAGCTCCTTAGATTATTATGAAGAAAAGATAAGGAGGCCTCTGGAATATCCTTACTGGCTTTTAGCTTTGAGAAACTATGCGGCGAATAATATATATATAGTTGCCACGAATTTGGGTAAAAGGAAGGTTCGCATCTGCATGGATTGATATTGTTGTTGGTATTAAGACTAAACAAATCTAAATCATAAATACTACTTAGATTATCTAGGTCTTTCTTGGTAGGCAATACAGTAGATGTACAACTATTTATTTGAATATCTCAAACAAAATCTGCACCATAAAATGGTAGCTCGCGCAATAGAGATTTATTCTGAGATCTCGTCGGTTTATCGGCCGTATTTAATTTAAATGTAAGATTTTATAAGGTCTACTTAGCTAGCTTTCAGTGGCACGAACAATAAGGCTTTGAAGTTGTTCATTGGTGCGAATCTTGATCACCTCAGATTCATCGCTTTTATGAAGACAAATGACTGTCGCCTTGGCCCAGCAGTGTTTATAATGATGGCTGAATTTGAACTTCTTGGTTTCATACAGTAGTAGCTCTTGTAGTTATGGCGTCAGATGATCATATTGCAGTCGGGCAATATTCGATGAACAGTCGGGCAATTTTGGCTTGCAATAAAAAAAAATGTGACAAATTCTGTAAATTTTGTCTAAAATTAAGTCAATTTCCTGGCAAATTTTGTGATTTTTCGAAAATTTTGTGTACAGGGTGTCTCAAAAAAAACCAAAATCATTGAAATAACGTATTGTTCGAATTTCAATGCCGTAACACAAAGGATTTTGACAGGGTGATTAATTTGTTTTAAAAAATTAAAATATCTTTGTAAAGTGAACGTTTGTTTGCTCATGGAATTTAAAAATGCTTCGTAAATTCGTGGGTTTAGTACTTTATGCCTGACATAACAAGTTTACGCTGAGTATTACCATTCATTATAGCAGTTATGTCAATCTTTTATGCACTCGTGGGATTAACTTAGTGCTAGGGCATTGAATATCGAACAATACGTCAATTTCAATGATTTTGGGTTTTTTTGAGACACCCTGTATGTTCCGAAAAATATTGGTTGTCCGGAAAAATTTTTTGACCCCTAAAATGGTACACTGACCGAAATTTTTTTGGCGACAGGGGGGGGGGGAGGTCGCCAAAAAAAATTTTCCGGAAAAAATTTTTTGGTACTAGTCGGGCAAAATCCCGAAAAGTCGGGCAATTTTCCTTCCGCCACCCTAATTTTTTCCTTCCGGTACGCCCATGATCATATATTCCCATTGCAATTACATTGAGAGATGCTGTCGGGAAAATATTGCAAGCGATGAGCAGATAACTTTCTTAATCTCCTTTCACTTAGACATTAATTACAGCTTCTTTGGCCAATCGTCTGGTAAATTTGCAAATTACAGGGTTGCTGCCGTCATTTGTAGAGATGTGCAGTATCGATGTCTTGAATTGTTAGACCTTGAACTCCTATTGCTTTGGACATTTCTAAACACAGCATTGCAGTGAATTCAGATGATTCATTAGTTGAAGTTTGAGGAACACCAATTAATTATCTTTACATTGTACTTGTAGCTATATTGCTCAATAGCATCAATGGCGGACTCAACTTTCATCACTTTCTCGGTTATTTGATTAAGAGTCTTCTTAAATTCACTGAGTTGGCTTTTCGTTTGTTTTCGAAACGTTTGCCGCTCATCGTATTCTAAGGAACTGAATATCTTTTAGCTCGACATTAGATTCGGCCTGTATAGAGCTTCGCCGTGTGTCGAATTTTCCGTCTATACGCTTGTTCAACTTCGTCAATTGATCATCCATACGCTTGCATTGCGATTTAAGTTCCTCATTCTCTTTTTTTAAAGCTTCAATTGCTCTGGTAGACATGAATTGAAATGTTTTAGAGTTAGCAAGTCTTGAATATACCAAAAGTTAAATTTTATTCCTAGAGCATACAAACACACGTCCGTCTGCCGAGACGTGAGCTGACTATTACAAACACACGTCCGTCTGCCGAGATGTGAGCTGAGAACATAATTTTTCTAACTTCGTAGACTGTCAGTAGACATATCATGTAAACAAGGAACGGCTATATCTTGGGCCATCTTGGTTGTATTGTTTATTACCACTCTCCGGCGAAAAGGTGAAAACCAAATCACTATTTAAATATTGTACCAAAATATAATCCCAGCCAATGACGGTAGTAAAGTACAATAATATTGAGTTTATCGGTCAAAATACGACTGAATATCAATCGACGTTATCTGGGTGGGTGGGTGAAATAACTTCGATTCGTTGTTTTTGTGGCAACATAAATATGGACGTGGCCCCTCATTTATACAGTGCTATTTATGATTCGGTAGCTAATGTTGGACCTGCACAACATATTCTCTATGCCATCTGTGAAATTTTGCTCATTACTTTGGTTATCAGGAGGTTATCAACGGCTATGCTCTTCATTAATTATGATTAAATGTATAATGGATTGATGGTTATTGATTGTATGTCCCTGAAGAATATTGGAAACTGTTACTATAGTCCTCTTGAAACATTCTCTATCCTAAAAGAAAAAATTTTCAACCCAAAATACAATACTGACATAAAACACAGTGGAAATTTGATGGAACACCAGATACTATGGATCACCTTATTATTTCACAATGATACTTATCCCAAGCCTTCTGGGAGCCAGATGTGCAAGTGTGTACTATTTATACATTTGGAGTAGAACTGTATACGATCTATAATTAATAATATATACTGTAGACTAAACCAAGTATAATTAAAGTGCTGGAGATATATCTTTCATTTATGTTACTCCTTGCCAAAATTATAATAAGGTGCTAGCCACACCTCATCAACCTCCTACATCACCGGCCCCGAGCAATTCTGTTGCTGCCCTTCCCCTGGCCGACGTAGCGAACGCCTTCAACAGACGTCTTGTTACTATTAGTTTCGTACCACAAGATGTGGCACTCATCAGATAAATTAGCCTTAAGGCTAACATCATCAGGTTGGTCTTCACATGCATGGGACTCATGTCCTGTTGACCATTCCTTCAATCATTGTTATAATTTTGTATGATTGTAAAGTTAATAAATAAATAAATAAATAAATCTCTCTACAGTAATGCATCCAGGAGGTGCAACTTGTGTATCTGGGAGAAGTATTTCATTATTTGTAAACCAGATATTGCAACACTTAATTTTCTTGAAAGGTGTAGTAAAGTTATTGTTATTATTGCTGTTGTTATATATCACGCATAAATTTAAAATAGTAGTTTCGTCAGTATGAAAACACGCTAACATGAATACAAAGAAAATTGGCAGTGTTGTGGAGGGGATAAGAGGGAATGAGGTACAGAAAGGGATGGATGTGATGTGTGAGAGAAAAGCGTTTAGACGAAGTAGCATCTGCCCTACAAAGGAAGCGATACGCACAATATGGAACGGTGTATCGTAGAAACAAATTTATTATCTCAACTTTTCCTGTTTTCATGCACTATGAGCGACTAGCTTCACGCTTGTGAAGTTTTACCGATTTTCATCCATCATCAATCAACACAAATTATAAACGCCTTTATCGCAGTTATAATGTACTGCATAAATCTATTTATACTAAAAAATTGCAATTTTCCTTAGTCATATGTGGTATTTCTCTCCAGAGTTCAAAACAGATTTCATGTTTAAATCTTCAACTTACAGTGATAATAACTTGGTTTTGTATCTATTTTTAGGCAGTCAAACTAAGAAACATCATGACATATTTGACCTTCGTTACTGGACTTGCAATTCTGGTTGCAATACAATGTACATCCGTCAATACATGTAGTTATCCACAACAATACAAGAGCGGTAAGCATACGTGTTGGGGTACGCGGATACGTACAAACGGATGGACGGACGAATGGACGGACAAATAGAATAGAATAGAATGCGGATAGTGGAAAAAATGAATAAAATGCTGATAGCGCAATGGAATGCACAGTACAATAGTTTGTTTAATGAAAACCATTCAAATAAAAAGCAATAACTTTCACAATGTTTGGATGATGCGGAATAGAATAGAATAGTAATACGTTCAAATCATAATAGCGTTTACAACTGCGCTACATATACTGTATTCTATCAATAACATGAAAGCATTGACGACACAAAGTGCCTGCATGATCGTGATATTTAATGTCGATAACTCTAAATTGTGAATCCGGAAAGCACCATATTCAATTCTTATATTATAGACTCAGCAAGATTCGTTCGTGTTGGGTTCGTCTACATAGCCGTTTTCCTTTCTAATTGCCTTAGCAATTTTCCCTTTTTTCGGGAGACAAAATTCACAGACTAACACGGTGATGAATTTCCGCGGGATCGGCAATTTGAAATGCATGATGGTTTTATTTTAGATTAGATATTTGCACTCAGCTAAACGCAGGCAAATCGTTCTAGATCTCTGACTGAAAACATTTTGCAAGACTGCAACATAATAATAGAAGAAAATACTCAGCACAACATACAATTGGTTAGCTCAAAGTAACGAAAAGCAATTGATATTTACAAGTTTAACTGAACTAAGTTGACTTGATAGAGTAAAACGGGTAGTGTTGCGCATAGATAATTGTATTTCTTAATATTTCATGCTGGTTGCTCATGCGTATGATAAACGTGGCATTCAGCAATTGGCTACAATGATCGGCTTTTCAATCAAGTCGACTTGGCAATATTGCAGGTCAAACAAGGTTTAACGTCATTCTAGTTGTTGGCAGTTAAATTTATACACCAGATTGCCGTAAAAATGTGTCGTTTTCAAGGAAAAGTAGCGGTGTCACCCAAGGATGGAAAATTTGCATCCTAGAGGTAAATTAAGGCTGCTCTTCAAACGAACTCAAAAAGAACGAACCCAGCTGAAGCTAAAAAAGTTGGATATTATGCTTTTTGGATTCGTGATAGTTTTGAGTTAACAACATTAAATATGAGGCAGTTTATGGCGTGAATGGTTTGATGTTTTTCGACCTGATGACAAGAGAAACAGTATGTAGGGCAGTCGAAACTGCTATTATGATTTATAACGCATTTTCTATCAGGAACAGCAACGCCCGTCACGTTATTTTAATGTGTTTGTTAACCAAACTAGTGTATTATACATTTTATTGCGCCATCTGCATTTTATTCTTTCTGTCAGCAATCCGTATTTTATTCTTTTTGTCCGTCAGTCCGTCGATTTGTTCATCCGTATCTGCCTTTTATCTAAACCAGCAAGCATCTCCAAGACTTGTTTGATATAATGAATTGCTCAATGTTGCTTATATTTGCTCATTATCAATTTTATGCGACAATCGTCTCCGTAATGCCACACCGGCATCGCAGTGCCTGCCAAAATTTACAAACCCCCAAAGCAGCGTTGTTGACATACGATATCGAGAATTATCAAGGTCGAGGTTTGTGTTATTTACCAAAGCCGTAGGTTGAGGTGGATAAGACCAACAGCGAGGCTTTGATAATTCTCGATATCATACGAAAAGCGAGTTCAATAATTGTTTTATTATGTATTCAATAGCTGATAAAAATTCAACATAAATAGGCAATAATAAACAGGCTTAAAAACACTTGATTATTATCTATTAATTTTTATCCAACTTCTAGCTAGGCTGGATTACCAGCTGTTACTCAAGTCGGACCCCTCAGGGGACCTTCCCGAATGCCGGCTGGTAATCGAGCCTAACTTCTGGCATGCTATTGTGCGTTAACTATTCTGTGTATGAACGTAATTTGTTTATAGTCATATAGCTCACGCTTTTGGCTGTTGAATGACGTATTTTTCACCTATTATAGAAAAAAAATGAATACGAGTCCAACAAATTTTTTTTGTCGAAATCGCATATTTTTATAATTACCTATAACTGGCTTGCAAGATTTGGTGTCCACCCTAGCTATATAACAATACTAATTGTGCCCCCCCCCCCAATTTTTGTATCAATCAAAACAATGCCGTAGTTCATTGACTCAGCCGTTAGGGGGGCGAGGCCGAGAACCCAACGGCTGGAATCTATCCGTAAGCTTGATGATGAGAATTGTACTGAACTGCCGCTCAACTTACCGCAACCACTTATCAACACTTGTGCTCGTTTGCTCCAGACATTAAATACAATGGCGCTTTTCATTCGCTATGTAGACACGTCCAGTCCTTACTATCTTGGGGAAATGAGCTTATCTGACGCAATAAAGGGGAAACGGAAGCGTTACGTCATATGGCCATGGACACTGACTCACAGTATGATCTTGTTTCGTGGCAAAGTTTTCGAATGGGGGATCAACTACACCTACTACATGAATCGGAGTCCAAGTTCGTGTCAGATCACGTGGCACTGGGGAGCCAAAGGCTTTAGCAAATGCTCACTCAGCGACGTAGAGAGTTGGACCAGAGCTTACGGCAGAAGCAATACATACGACATTCTATCAAACAACTGTCATATGTTTGTTAATCGACTGGCAAAGTACCTGAACACTAACTGCGGACGTTGATCGTTGATTAATCAAAATATAAATCCCTAAATGGCTTAAAGGACATTGATTTTTGGAACCGACAGTTTTAATTTGATTAGTTTTTTATTTTGGGGTAAATATAGCTTAAACATTTTTGATTTTACGTTGTTGGGTTTATCTTAATTATGTACGGAATGCAAATGTTACATGTAGATTGTAGTATGAAAAATATATAATCTCAGCAAATTCTGATTTTGAACATAATGTGTATCAAGTTGGTCTCCTTAGCCTGGAATTAGTAGTTTACGGCAGAAAAAATACATCTCTCAAATATGTGCCCAAGTTATCTAGGATTTTTGCCTTGGTATAGTCCATACAGACCGAACGCGATTCGACAACGCGACGCGAATTTTCAGTTTTTAAAAACAAATAAACATGGCCAGAAATCACGGACATTTGCATTTATCAGGTTTCATTTTACCACACGCATCCACGCAACAATGGCTACGCAATGCCCTATGTTTATTATCAGGCGAGCGGAGTATTTTCAATATAGCATGCTATATATAAATCTTAGAATATTTTTTGAAATTGGTTCAAGAAGTAGCGGTCGTATAGTAACACATTAAAATAAAATGTTCTCATTACTTTGTATAGTCGCTCTGCTTTTTGCGATTGAATATTAAAACATTTTACCTCACTTTACATAGGAATCTATGAAGGTTTCTCGCTCAAACGGCAAAATCTCGTAATATATTCAATTATCGAAATTTGTTGAAATCATTTTATTTTGACGAATAGTATAGCCTTGCCTTCCGCCGTTTATTATTTTGTTACACCAGATAAAAGCTCTGCTTTTTTGTTTTGAAATTCGAAAGCCGGTGCGTTAATATGCATATCATATATATTACTTCACGGTCAAAAAGTTATTTTTCATTCGCTTTCTAAACTCGAAATATTGATTGCCTTGCTACATGTTTGGTACCAAAATAATCGTTAAAAGCTTTTCTTTTCATTTCAGTAGTTGTTGCTTAGCTACACGCTGCGCCTGGTACACTAAAGGCCACAACTTGAGTGCATACTTCATGCTTTGCTTTATAAACAACACCCACGCGAATATTTAACATTCCGGATGTTTTGACAGGGCGTAAAAGGATAATTAGGAATTCTTGTGGATAAATAGAAAAGCTGCTGACCGACAGATACGCTTGCACGATGTCCGTCATTTCTGGCCATGACCGTCAACGGATAAAAATTTTATAAGATATGCAGACCAAATAGCTAAAATTGCTTAAGTGGTTCCGAATATTTGAAAAACATAGAAAACTATTGAAGTTAAATGTCATTAAAAATCGAAAATTCGCGTCGCGTTGCCAAATCGCGTCCGGTCTGTATGGACCTTCAGAACAGAATGTTCACTCACAATTTAAAATAATGTCATGGTAAACTTAGTAATACTATTAGATACACCTTCTGATCCAGTGAGCCTTCTTCAGTATGTGATTGGAACAATGATTTCTTTATAAAGAACCTTCCAAATGTAGTCTAGATCTTCGCTTTTGTGGTTTCTTTCGCAGGTGTTCGGCCAGCTGGAGAATCATGCACTCTCTAAAAACCTATGACAAAATGAAAGTACTTTACGCAAAACGAATTAGATATACTTTCCTCAAATGATGGGCGTCAGCCAAAGACTTTAAAACTCTAGACACCAGCCCAGATATAAAATCTATAAAAAACAGGCAAATAACTTCTAAATCTTCTAAATATTTTTTCAAAAGTAATTTAACACTTACTGTAAAGAAAAATGATCTTAATAATAGGGAACTTTCAAAATTCATTGTGGAAAACAAGTTTTGGTGGCGCAATGTCTTCCTCGGATATTAGACGCCATATTAGAAAATGTCGAAATGAAATGACCATATGAATCGTCATTTCAATGCCGAATATCTCGAAACGTCCGGCGGATCATTGAAATAATTCGATTCCATCAGATTTTTAGTTTAGACATTTGTCTTGGCTTTTTTGCAAGAATTACGAAAATCGAACCATGGGAATTTCAGATTTTTTAGTTTGAAAGTTGTAAACAGACTCGGACTTGAGTGATCACGTTGCGATGATATGAGCACCTTTAATGATCGAAAAAGGTTAAAAAATAACGTTTGGGCAATTCTTGCAAATATTGCTAGCCCGTTTCCCAATTAAACTCGCGTTTTAATTTTAATAGAAAAATATGTATATTTATATTAGACTAATATAAATATTTCTCGGTCCAATGCAAATTCCAAGGCCAAAAATCTTCGCAAGGACGGTGGAAAATAACGAGATTTCATTGGTCGAAAAATTCGCGAAATTGCTGTACAACTTCCTCTACCTGCAAGTTGATTTAGTGGCGAAGCTAGAGGTCATACTGGCCTTGCTGGGCAGGTGTAACTTTTTTTCGTTGTTTTCTTCTATGAATTTCATCATGAAATTGCAGGACATGACCATTCTGCAGGACTCCTAAAATTCAAAAATGTCTGGAACAGCACACCCTCCCTAGAATATGCGGGTTTTAGACCATGAATACTCAACATCAGCCTCGCCATTGGTTTGAATTTAGTCATAAAAACACACTGAATTTGAAACACTGCTTTCAGATAATGTAAAATGTGATTTTAAAAATCAGGTAATTTGACCCCTACCCCCCCCCCCCCCCCTCACCTCAATGACAAAGTCTTCGTGACGTCCCTGCTGGAGCGACTCTTGCAATTGAGGTGATCATTGTTAATATTCAAGTGCACTCAGCAATAGAGCTATTGCGACACCTGCACCCCCCCCCCGCCCAATTGAAAATTCCCGATTTAAGGGCACTTCCGGTTTGGAACACTTGTTTTTCGCAAGATTTCTAATGTACAATTCACAAAATCGTGTACCATTGCAACGTTCTATATTCCAAATTTGAAATAAAACAAATTGTATTATCTCCCGGTAGCGACTTCATTTAGCGCTTATCAGTTTTGCACCGTTATTAGGGGCCGACCATTTAACTTTTGAGGGGGGGGGGTGATTTTGAAAATAAATTTCCTGCAAGGGTATTCTGAACAAAAAAAAAATACCTGCAAGAACAAAGTGGGGAAAAAAATATCCTGCCCCAGTATTTGGTGGGAAAAAAATGTTGCAAAACAGCATGGTTGCAGGGATCGATTTGACCAGAAGATCAGCTGGTTTGATTTTCAGGGATTAGTGTAAGGGCTATTTCATAGATAGATAGATAGATAGATTGTTTGTTTAATAAGATTAACACATAGCAGCCAATAAGGCTGAATTGCGTGCTAAATTTTACAAGAGAAATGATTAAAATTAGTTATTCTATATTTACAGAAGTTTAAAATTACATTACAATTTATAATTCTATATTACAGAAGTTTAAAGTTACATTACAAATTAGCTATGAAACTAGTAAATTTCTAAAAAATGTTAGCCAGTCTAAAACTGAATATCAGAATCGATTGTCAGTTAATATTATTGATATGCCTTGCAGATGAAGGGAAAAAACTGTTTCTAAATCTGTTCGTTTTGGTCTGAGGAACAACAAAAGACCTTGAGTGTCTAAGGTCGTAATTTGGAAAGTATCTAGATGGTACATGATTATGCATATTAGCTACTGGTGTTGTGGTGATTTCATTAAACAGTTTCTCGCATGCATAATCTACTATATGACAAACATGTTTTACATGAGTGTTGAAAACTAGTCAAACAATGTCGATTCATCTCTATCTTTTATTATGTTTTAACAAAACTGAACACTGCCGATCTAATATAAACAAAAACAAAATATATGACATAGATATATAAAATATAAATACAATAATAAATATAATATATTAATTGTAATTTCAAACACTCATTAATAATTCATATAAAGCTTATTGGCAAATCATGTCAACCATAAAACACTCCTAATTAGTATTCTTTATATAAAGATCTATTGTAGTCATGTCCTCATTAATAGTATTTTTTATAGGCATATTGTAAACACTGGACTGGACTTTGGACTATGGACTATGGACTTTGGACTATGGACTATGGACTTTGGACTTTGGACTATGGACTTTGGACTTTCGATTTTGAAATTATATTTTTAAAATATTCGTATAATTATATTAATTAAAATCTAAACAGAGAACGAAAATTTGTGCATGATACAATATTCAAGGTAAAAAATACTGTCAGTTATATAGGTATACCAGTGCAATTTCATAGATATAGCTTGTGGGATAACAGGATCATCTCAGTAATATTTTTAAGTTAATATTTAAATTTTATTATAATATTTGTATTTATAATATGTATAGTACAGTTTACTGCAGAACTTCTTCTTTATCGTATATATAATAGATTTATATAGAAACAATTGCGGCAAAAGTAGCTTGGCAAATACAAAATATTGAGAAACTATCACGTATAAGTATAAACTACACGCGATTATTATTGCGCCTTTTGCTTTGAACAATTAGTATTCGCCCAAGGCGAGGCCGTGATTATCCGGGAATTTGTAGTCTCCCTCGCAGCCGCCAGTTGTGTACGTTCTCTCTGATGTCTGCGAAGGAGGCTAGGGAATTTGTCAAATTTGACCAATCAACTTGACAACTTGTAGGATTTGTTGTACTATTTATTCACTTGCGCAAAAATACTAATGACGGTATTGTTCATCTTTGCATAATAGTTTACACCGGTTTAGCGCCTGCCTAAATAGGCTGTGTTTACAATGTATTTTGTCTGTGTCAGTTTTAGCTTTTAATAAATGTATTCAGCCATAGTGAACACGAAAACTCTCATAGTCACTACGAATGCGATTCCCGCCTGGTTCATCACTTGCAAGTGGTAGTATTACTGAGTAAACGTGGCAAATAGTTGCTAGACTACCTGAAGCACATAGATCGACATAGATTTTTGCCTTCTCACACACAACTGAGTAGGTCTTAAAAAGTGTGTAAATTTCCGTTAGTCGAATATTCCTGTCCATCTACTAACACTTAATTATTAATAATAACTGAAGCACTTAGTCTTATAGTGATAAGGATAGCTAACTAGAATGTCTTTCAAAAATAAGTAACATTAACAAAACGTTACTGTGTAACGGAGTAAACAATTACACAATACAGTACCATTATGCAAAGATGAACAGTCAACAATACTCAATACTCAATAGGCGCGATAATAATCACTTGTATAGTTAATATTTTGTATTTGCCGAGACACTTTTGTCATGTCACAATTGTTTCTGACAATTAATCTATTATCTATATGATAAAGAAGAAGTTCTGCACTATATACTGTACTATGCATACTATAAATACAAATATTATATAAAATTTAAATATTAAATCCCAAAATATTGGATAATCCTGCTGTCCTACAGGCTATATCCGTATGAAATTGCACTGCTGGTATACCTATATAACT